TCCGAGGGGACCTAATTCTTACTTACGCCCTGTTTGAACAAAGCTTGGCAAACAGGTTTTTTACCGTTGACCCAGCAAACACCCGGCGGGGACATAGTAAGAAAATTTTCAGGCTCAGGGCACACACATTCATTAGACAAGTTTTTTTCAGTTCGGGTAGTAGCTGCGTGGAATGACCTTCCTCCGACGGTTGTCCACGCTCCTTCTAGAACCCAGTTTAAAGCACTATTTGACATTTATTTATGCGAATCCTCGCGCTGGCAAGCATACTTCCCCGCGCTGAGAACATAAAGAGCAGTGCTACACCCTTTTGTCACTTGTGCCTTTCAGGTGAACGACAGCCACTGATCAACAAGAACAAAACCGACCCGGGAAACTTGGGCAAAAGCCTCGATCCTGTGTATCAATCCGTGAATCCTGACCGCTACTCTCTAGACTTGGGCAACCCGGCGGCTTTCTAGCACTCCTGCTGCTTTTTTGGCTCGACAGCTAGGCATCGGAGGGGTTCTACAGTTGAACGAACGAAACATAGTATTAGTACACCTAAATCAACTTTGCACGCATGCCGAGTTAACTTTATCACATATGCCACCGATCCTCTCCCAAGTTCTCATAGTGCCAAAATGTACCACGCGCGACTGACTTGATAGTGAACCCATAATTTAACTCAACAATATTCACAAAACATTTGAAAAGTAGCTTTTTCGGAAGCTTGCATCACTGACTTAGGATTACCTCGGTTGTAGCGTATACCATAGGAAATTGTTCTCAGATTAAATAGCATCATTTATAGCAGAGTAAAATATGCTGTCTCATGAGTAAGTTAACAGAGGGTCACAAAATACACGCAAGTAATGCCCCTGACATAGTCCTTTTTGCGAGCCTCTACCCTTTTCCATGGATTGTAACTAAGCCATGATGGGGTTACCCAGTCGCAAAACGTGCAACGCAACCCCCTCGCGTTTTTCTTCTGTCGCTTGTCACCACATGCTTGAGAATACTTATTCATCTGGACGCCTCCAACTTCCAGGATTAGTAGACACTTCTTTCCATTTAGCAATTAATGTCAAAATTCCTTCCATATTCTTAGCTAGTATGTTACTGTTCACCATGGCCTTCATCTGGTACCTGGTATTCCTCTGCATCTCCTTAACCAACTTCCTGAGTGAGCGTTACTTAACCGCTCCCGAAACCGTATGGTCACTTTTCAACCCCATTTTTGCCCAAGCACGATCAAGTACATGATAATCCTATCTCCCAAGAATTTTAATGTATTTTTCCGTTCCTGATTCCAATTGACCCAGAACTGGCCATAAATTAGGGTGTCATAGTAAAGCACAGGCTATTTTGGTGGCAAAGAGGTACTGCTTCCTCCACTATACCCATTAGAGGATTCCAAATATGTAGGACAAAAACGAGTTTGTCAATACGTCACAAATCGTTAAACCGTCAAACGATTTTAAGATTTTACAACCGGCTACCATGCAAATAAAAGCGTACCAAACACAACTTCAGTTTTAGAAAGAGCTATCTCATAAGGAAAGCCGTATTGTTGCAAAGTACTTTGTCATTTTGCTCATCACAAGTTCGACCCGTCTTGAATTGGGTTGCTTCTAGGTCTCTGCGAAGAAAAATGGGAAATATGGAAACCTTATAGCGGACTAGGACCTTATCAGCGTGTTCGGATAAATTAACAAGCAAAGTAACCAGTACAAAATCACAAAATCACAATAGGAAAAGAATGAGTAGTCAAATGGGAACTCACGAATGTGTAGATCCAATAGTCCACTACACCGATCCAAATGCAGTAACTGGCTGTGAATGGAAATATTCACTTGTCGAAATTTCCCACAGATGGTTCCGCGTGAGTCATATATTCCACGGTAGGAAAATTATTCACGGCTAAAAAATGTCACAGGGATTTATTGTGCAGTGGTTCAGCGTAAATAAACTCGTTCAGCAAGAAGTCAGCAGGTCGCACCGGAAAAATGTGTATTCGTAACATTAAAACAAACGTCCCGATACAATATGTACGACAGTTACAAAGTGTGGTTTAAGTTCAGGAAGAATGGTAAATGTGACAACGGATTACAGACACTACAAGATTTTGTCCAGGAAGATAGACATAGGCGTTGCGTATTAACATAAAAAACGCAAGGACTTCCCAGGTTTTTGTCCAGTGCGTTCATGCAAAGCCACGGCAGAACCTGTATTTTGTCGAAGGCAAGTTGATGCTTGCAATGGTTGAAAACACAGAGCGGATTCATACTTATTATCGGATGGCACGATGTAAAGGTGCCTAATAGTGGGCATCTCAATAAAACAGCATCAAACCTTAGAGTTCCAACACTAGAATACAAAGCACCAAGTTTCTTCGTGTATCGGTCTCGAAATGTACTATTTATTAAGCAAAACGGATGTGGCTTGAGCAAAGTACTTCGGTCCATTTTCGGAAGAGTATAAGCCATTATCAGGTTGCCAAAAATCTACCGTGAGAAGATTTCAGTTGTCGGTTAAAAATTTAGGGGCACATGTGACCCCTGCTTGGGGACGAAATCAATCAAAGCTCTTTTCGTGGCTGGCGACAGCTTTCCAAATCAGATCTATATGTTAAGCAAGATCTTATACAAACCACTTAAACTTGTGTTTATCCCAGGCAGAAGCATCTGAAAACACCTCTATCATACTCACCACTCAAAATTCGTAGTCCATGAAGTGGGCGTTGTTGAAAGAGCGCGATTTTTTGTGGTGTCACCACATAGTGTTACCTGAATCACTGACTTGAAACGGAAAGGTGAAGGTGCGTTTGACTGTTTTATATAAATCCAACTTAGCATCCGTTACATTTTTTGAATTATTTTGTGGTTCGAGAATATGGCTGATTCAGAAAAATCGGACGGCTTTTGACTGCAGTTAGGGCTTATAAATACATCTTCGGATTTTTAACCAGCATAGGCGTGACTGCTTAAGGGACATGTAGGGATACATAATTTCAACTTTGCTTTAGTATAGACGAACGGATTTTCATTTCAATGAGCACTGTCACGCCCAAATTGGTGGATTAATTTACACATCAGAACTACGCCAAGTGCGATTCTAAGTAGTGACTCTTTTGAGAAAAAATGAACATAAACAAAAACTTATAGTCCGGAAGTCACCGAATGAGTATAGATTAAAAGAGAGTTGATAACAACCACAAGCCTTGGTAAGTTACGTTTCGAAGTTTCTGTTTGTACAACTAATCTAGCACCTCAGACAGAGGTGCTGTAAACTAACGAGTCTTTGAGTGAGGATGACAGCTAAAGGAGAGAGAGAGCAAAAGAAAAAGCTTGTCTTGGCAACAAACTTGGAAACAACTATTCCAAAAAGAGGCATAATGCTCAAAAGGTGAATGAAGATGAAGTCCGTAAACCATGCAGTTTTCGAGGCTAGAACCCTGAAAGAGAAGGACTGTTCTGAACCCTTATTATGACTGCTCATACGAGAACCATCGTTGAATCTCTTCGACGGCATTGTATTGATCTTTGTTATCAAGCGATAGCAATTTAGATGTCCATGTGTTATTATCGTGAACAGAAGAACTATGGTGTATGCCAGCCATTCATCAAAAACAGGGAGAACTAAAGCAACAAGGTTATTCATAAATGTTTTGCTCTCACGTCAAGAATTCATCAGCCTTACCCAAGATTCGAACAAGTTTTTAGATTATACCCGTACGGGCACATACTGACTAAGTAATACGTTGCTAAAAGTGTGCTCACTGTTTGTGCACAAACACTAGTTTGAGTAGTGTTATGAGATTTTCAAAGTTAGTTTTTCGGGAGAATAGTTATAACGTTCCTGTCTTCATTTTTTCCACTCTGAGAAAAAATTTCAGTTTGATGAATTTTTATTCTGGGGATATGTACACCATATCTGTTAGAAATGAGGAGTCTTGATCTAAACTACGGGCCACTGGGTTAACTGTATGCTACACGCGTGAGAAAAAACGTCGATCGATGAAAACCTCTAGTGCCTTGTTACTTGAATCATATTTAGATGAGTGTCTATCACGTGTCCGCTCATTTCACCCTCTGGATTGTTCTCGGAAATCCTGTTGCTCAGGAGGCAGAAGCGATTTCAATGTGGTGGACGTTACTTTGGGTTTCGCTGGTTGGGGTTCTAACAGAAAGTGAGTACTTGACGAGCATTTGGTGGATATTAAACGGAAACCTCGGTATTTTTGGAAAACAAAAGCTGTCAGCCGCTGCCTGCGGTAGTCGTCACAAAATCAGTCATTAACCACTTGCTATCTTGAAAAGATCTAAGGTTGTGGATAACTGCACGTGTACGGAGAGTGAGAAATGGCTCAAAAATTCCTTGCAGATTTTAGCAAATGAACCGTTAAACAGAAATATAACCACTTGATTCATTGCGAAATCTAACGGCCGAAGCTCACATTTGACTATTTGGTCAACCTATTAGAAAAAGCTTATCAGCATTTAAAATTTCAAGTAGCTTATTCTGTAGACTTTACTCCAGTATAGTGTTTTGGAGAATTTACGCCAATCCAGGGCCATAAGAAAGCTTGAATATGACAGAATAACTTCTGCCTATAGGAGAATGCTCAATGAATATTCCTCAACAGCTCACGACCGCTTTCGTCTTTCTTGGGGCCCACCAAATGGGCGCATTCCCCAAGTTTCCATCAACCTTATGTTTTACGTGAACCTACTGAAGTGATTTCAAAAAATACGTTCAGTTGTAAATCAATTTGATTTTCACGGGAGACTCAAGTGAATCTCTCGTTCATGATGTTCTTCAACTGACTGTGGTGCACAAATTTGAGTCTGTCGCGGAAACCAAATTGATTTGCAAGTGAGTGTAAACTAGTCCAATTCGGGTTCAAGTAGAACATAAAGTTGACGGAAACTCGTGGACTGCGCCTATCCAATAAGCTTCAAAGTGTGAGTAGTTTCCTTCATGAGAATAACTTCTAAGCAAACGCCTTCAACCTGATTACCTTTGATGAAAAACTAATTTTTTTCTTAGTGAACCACACACAACTTTGACAAAACATGGTTGAAATGACTCGGTTATTGTTCTAGAACAACGCGTCGGTTTGACTGCGTATATCAGCTTCATTCACTGCTTCTTAGGTTTCTCAGCCCAAACTTAATAAAGCACTTTAACCGTTATACATCCTACTTTAGACATAGATTACTAGCAAAACATCAATATCTTGCGAGATCATTTGAAAACACTGTGAATCTGTCGATGCTAGAGCATATGAAGAAGGCGGTAGGATAAGCCATTATGAGAGATAGGTTTCATCAGTACGCACTTTATAGCACAAAACGCATAAAATCGTATGAGGCGAAAAGCGAATGCAGTTTGCATCCATTATGTACTAGTTATTGCGCCTAGAAAACTGTTTTAAATCTTTTACGGAGGAAGAGTCCAATTAAGAGGAAGTTATTTCGCATCCTTGTGAATACGAATAACTACCACTTAAATCAATACTGTAGTACCGAATTCAACACAGTCACCCAGATATGAGACCGACCAATTGTAACGGAAGGCCTGGTAACCAGAGCGTCTCGGTTGTCAATGTAAAGTCGTCTGCACACCCAATTAGTGGCCCATAATAGCCTATTTAAGTAGAGAAAACTGAACCGTTGAGTGCTTCATTGCATGTAAGAAGCCACTTGGTGGTCCGAACCACAGAACAATACAATTAAATGCAAGATATACAAAACATTTTCTGGAAAGCAACAACCCGACAACCGAAACTATGGGTCATGCAGGTGAAGCATTTGTGGCTCATTCAAGTCAATGCTACGGAGTCAGTTGAAAAGTTCGTGTGTAAAAGGTCGTCTGATAGCGCGCAACACTCAACGTGCACACCCTTGGCAAATATACGTCTAGATATTACTGACAATCAATCAGATTGGTTTGTAGTTAGTGATGATCTCTGACGCGTACGATGTTCCAGCCTAGCCGCACTACCAAGCCAAAACTAGTTGCCACCATACGTTCAAAGTACGTTGGCTGAAGTTCCGAAAACGTCGGGGCAGCTCCACTAATAGCGTTTCACTCTAATAAAATGTGAAGCTACTTTATTCCAATTATGTTTAAAGAGGTCGACAACTTCCGCTACTAGATTTTCTTAGGAGAAAACCGGGTGTTGTTTTCTATTAAAACCAGTTAATGGCATTCAAACACGTTGTGAAATGACCTGATCTCAGAATCAAGGGTAAAATACTCAACCTTGTGAAGAAAACCCCAATTCACTTGCAATCCAAATCTTCCGAGCTGGTTTTGATTGTGTCGGAAGATGGATTGGCCTGTGTCCCACTATTGCGGATTTCAATCATGGTGAGATGAGCCACACAATACCGGGTCAAGCCACTTTGGAAGTTAACCGAGTAGGTGCAACCTCCGAGCAAAGTGAAGTGCATAATGACTGAAATCGGTGGTGATTACAAGTTCACTCAGTGAACAGAATAAGTTATTGAAATAAATGGTATACCAGTGAGGAAGTGAGACTGCGGCTAATACGGCTATAGTATCCTAAAAATAGGTAGGGAAACACCCTTTCGTTTTGGCATTACGATGCTTGTTATTCCTCAATGTTTGTTTGGTGTTCGCAGACTGAGTACGCATTGATATTGCCGTTTGAGAATGTCCTGGAAATTTTTCAGTGTTTGATTAACATTAAATCTGCAAAATATGCAGTGTCGTTCATGAGACGCACCAAGACACAAAAGCACGGCTGGCTAGTACAGTTTATCCTGCACATTGATGATTGCAGTTACTCACCTGCAGCTCCATTTTGGCTCGACAATCAGGAACACACGACGTTATCCAGGGTCATTTTCAGAATATAAATAATTACCACTGAAATCAATGTGATACTACTGAATTCAGCGCACACACACCAGAGGGATAGAGATAGAATGAAAGCCACCTGGCGATGAATTCTAGCTAAAAACACCTTTCTGGTCAGCATTAAGTGTTTTCTATATTTTGGTCGGATATGATGCATCCAATGCTTGAGCTGAGCCATGAAATCTCTGTTTTCAACAGGAGTATGTGTAGCAATAGGGAACCCTGCGTTTTGTTTTATGAGCCATTACATACGGGGGCTTCGGCACATATCACATTTAACCTAATTGCTCAATGGAAGTCAAATATTTGTAATCAACTGTGGCAAGACACAACCCACTCTCCTCTACTATTTCGTTCAGATTTGGGACAAGTTCAGGTTCTAGGTAAGTATTCTACACGACTCTTTTGGATAACTTTTTGTTTCCTTCCGGCAAACATTCTACTCAACTGCATGCAAGCTTGGTGTGTGGACCAACCTAAAGAAACATGAACATCAGAGTTTGCATTAGGGATGCAATTGTCAATCAAACCCACACTAGTGTTGGCTAACGTTAACACTCGCTTTATCAGACTTACACGTGTTTTCCTCATTCAGTAAATTGTTTTCAGGAATATCATTTAACTGAGGGGAAATGAAAACTAAATTTTAAATGACAACAGCTCCATGGTGGTCGTTGGCTTGTTCGCTGTGCTGAGCAATCTAATTACAAACGTTTCGTCACCAATCAAGGTGACATCATCAGTGCGTTACTACGGAGCTTAGTAGTGCATAGCGGTGGGTTGGTGGTTGTCCGGCTCAGCAAACAAGCCAACAACCACCCACTAAACTACCTGAGCTACCGACATTTTCCTGTGTAGACAACAGCTCCAGTTTTTAGCTTGGGGCAAATTAATTTGCGTTTAACACGCTATGACCGAAATGACTACCAAGTTATTCCGAGTTGGCTCTGCCCGTAGTAATTAAAAGAGCAACTGATGACAAATGCCAGTGTGAAGCTCTTAGATAAGGCGGTAGATGAAATGTCATCGTTCTTACAAAAACACCAATCGACAGCTGAACTGAACCAAGTTGTGTCAACCATGTTTCAAACGGGTTACCACGTATACCATATCTCTGACACTTACAGTCAATTTTTATTTGAGGCTTATTGCAGCATGAGACCAACGATGTTGTAGTATTAGGAATCACCAGACTTGATTTTCTTCGGCGAACTCATCACATGAGACTATAGTGTTCGCTTTCCTGACTCATGAACCCAAAGCTTTTAGACATACACTCCTGACATCAACGATGGACTCAAATAACTCCGTTGAGGACGAGCAGCACTCCGGGCAGTTGCGAAATGTGTGAAGTGGTGTTCAGCCACACACTAGGGATCAGTTCAAAGAAAACAACTTGGCCTGCGAAGATGCTTATCTGATCCTTGCACTTTGAGCATCCATATCAACGAGTCTTTAAAAGAACTGGTTTGTGGCAAACGAATCAATGTTGTCTGGGCATGATGTATGCAAAGCCTTATGAGCGAATAACCATAAGTCTAATGAGAATCAACGAAGACCCATGACAAGTATCCGCATAGCATCAAACTGAATAAGCATCGAGAAAGAACAGAGGAGAGATTCTCAATGGAGACGCCACAAAGCGAGTTTGGTGTTGGTGTTAAATACTTGTAGTATGCAATGCGTGCAGATCCAAGAACAAAGTCTTGGATCAGTTTTGGAGGCAGGATGGGAACCAATCTAATAATCATAATGACTGGAACTTTCATTGGAGTGAAATAAGGTTGTGTGAACAAGAAATGTTCAGTAAAATATGCCAATCTGCAAACTAATTTGGTTTTGCGAGAGACTCACCTGGAACCCAACTGAATCTGTCGGTTTTGATGTATCAAGGCAACTGAATTTGCTGCACCAGACCGCCTCATGTTTCACTGGCTACGATATTCGAGATATTGCGATACGTGTATATTCGAAATTTACTACTCATAAGGTTGCTGAAAACCCCTTGACAGCCCCACAACCGGTTTCGCCCTTCTTGGGGCTCATCAGATAGGCGCAGTCCCCGAGTTTTCCGTCAACCTTATGTTCTACTTGAAACTAAATCGCACAAAATTAGCGAAATACACTTATTTGCAAAATAGTTTGGTTTTGCGAGAATCTTAACTGGAACCCAGATGAATCTCTCGTTTGTGATTTTTCCAGTGCGTGTTCTTTGGATCAGTTTCGGAGGTAGGATGAGAACCAACCTATCATTCACAATGACTGGAATTTCGATTAAAGTGACGTAAATTTGCGTGCAGAAGAAAAGTTCACTTCAGATGGCGTTGATAAAATTGAGTAGTACTAGTTTGATCAGCGAAAATTTAAGGGGGCTGGTTCTCATAAATCGAGTTTTAGGTGACGGTTTTCTGAGTTGTTTCGAATGAAGTTTGTGCAGATGAGCAACCAAGCTGTCAAGTTTGCAAAAAATGTGGAAAGTCCATTTTTGCAAGTTATCTCTCCGCGCGGCAGCGTAGCAGTACACTAAACTGTTTTCAGCAAAATGCGAATGCTGTCATTGGAAATGACAGGATTTAAACCAAATTGAGGGGCACTAACGAGATCGGTTATTGCAACTGAGCGAGATTTCCACAGAGTGCAGGAATCAAGGTTTACTTTCCTCAGAAATGGGAGAAATCTGGAGTCGAAGTTTCACGGTATTCAACGACAGGTATACCTGAAAGATGTGTTTAAGTTATAAACAGTGAAAATCTGCTTGCTGACATTTCTCTTTGACCCTCTGTTCCGGCTGTTTCAAATGACATTCCGCATATCTGAGGTACATCGGTATTAATAAATTACTTCTAGTGATCAGCTCTTCAAGTCCACATTTCTGTTCCGTACATTGGTACGTTGTACGAAATCAGGCTGAAGGTGGAATGGTTTTTCTGGAATTCTGAGCTGCACCAAATTCTGAAAATCTATACTTTCCATTTACCCATTGAACTGGTGTTTTCTCGTAGCGTTTCGACTTCTGTTTGGCACCAGAATCTAAGTGTCTGTCTGGCAAAACGAATTCATCTGCAAAGAGGAGAAAACAGGTAGTGGGCTGTAGAAGTACTGCGGCAGCATTATGAACAGTATCTCCCTTCATGATCATAGATCCCCGATCTGTTTCAGCAAGTAATTTAGATCTGCGCAAACGTACCATGTTGCGCACTTTGACTGGTTGGCGACGGACCTCAGCGGTGATGTGTGCCTACTTTACATAGTATGCAGTACCGTCTTTTGAAGTAAAACATAGACTGTATGGTACAATAATCCTGTATGTTATCAGTGGAAAGGGGAAGCGCTTTCGCTGACCAATTACTGTTTTTCTTACACGTGTTACACAAACCGGTGAACGCACTGTGAACGTACTGCTCTTTTGGGTACACTCAGTCACCGACTGGTTGTTCCCACCTGAGTTCTTCATGTGGAAATGAATAGTCTGTAGTAAAAAGCAGCGTGTTGCGAAATATTCGCTTTCATCTTTGGTTGTTATAAACAGAAGAAAAACTAAACTGATTCACCCGTTCATGAGTGTTATCTTTTATCGTGGCACTTATTGATTCCGGTAGTTGTGCTCAGAGAGGAATGAGGTCGCAAGTTCAACCTAGAGGAGGTGAGCATGTGACGATGATTCACGTGCTTATTTGAGCACATGATCTTCTGTTTACATTTTTTAGTGTGACCAAACAGAAGGCGTGTTGTACTTTTATCCCTAAAATTGTCAAATTGTTTCCGACAAATTTTACTTTCAAACTATGGGGAAGGAAAAACACTCATTTGTGGAAAGTTTGCACTTAAGAAAGTGATAACAATATAAAGTCAGCAAACTACTTTAGGCATATTTTCATTTTCGCGTTTGTTTAACTTTCGGTCTTTATTTTACTAACAGATGCACGTGATTTTGGAACACTTGGTAAGTTGGTGAACGGGTGACCCTCAGTTTTACCTTGGAAACGTTTGATCCTCTCAGCAAACTGTTAAAATTTAAATCGCAACAAAACATGCAAATCAAGTTCTTTTGTTCTCAACGCAGGCAGTGACGTACCTTTTCAAGGTTGTCCTAACCATTGATTCAATAGGCTCATTCTATTTTAACCAAGTGAAAAAAGTCTGGTTGCGTCCAAATCTTTGCTTCCAAGCCGATCATCAAACACATGGTGGATAAAAATACTGTTATGAAGCGGACCAGAAGAGAACAAGATAAGAAAGTGTGCTTTCATACCCAGATAAGAAAGAGATGTTTGATGAATGAACTAGTTATATGCACTCATGCCGCTAATATAGTCCATATCCAGGTTCGGTGGCTCGGATGCATTGATTTATCTTTGAAGCTAACCCCGTTTACTCTTCATTGCTCATGTGTGACACTCGCAAGCTATGCCTTATCGAGCGCTCATCCGTAGTGTGCTCTATTGTAAGTGTCTCTTGTTGGGAGATTATCAGTAACGTCGGACCCAGTCTTTGTCCACTTATCTCAATATTCTCGAATCCACTGAATCGGACGTCTACTCATTTTAACTGATTCACAAATCTTAGGCGCTCTGCGAACTCGTCACAGTTGATTTTCCCGCAATCTATGTGTCCGTAGAGGATATTTCAAAATCCGCCACAGTCGGGTTAATGGCAACAAGCACAAGGGAGCTCGAAAATTGGTCGGCGAACTGAAAGCTAAGATGGGTTCAATTGCTGGATGAAGCAGGATTTACATAACTGGGCACAACATATGAAGTGGAGCTCTGAGTGAATATAGTTTGCTCCTTCTTAATGGATTTCAAAAAGCGACACGGGTATTTGCAGTGTAAGTCTTCTGAAGTTAGCTATGAGCAACTGTTCATTAGTCGACCGAACTGTGGTCTCGTCAAATTACTGTTACAAGATCAATATATTGATTTGTTTGGTTGGAAACAGTGAAAACTCTAAAAACAAGAGATACACACTCGGCACCTACTGGATCAAACATGCTTTGGACGTAGTACACTGCTGATAGGATTGCTGAAAACGATAGATCCAGCTGGGTCTAAGGTCAGTTTCCCGTCAAAAACAAATTGGTATGCAGATTAGTGTATATGTCGAACAAAACATGCTTTTATAATGCTGAGCATTCTGAGTATTCTGTTAGACACTGTACATAGATGTCTAACTAAAAACGGCAAACTACTGCAGTCAGACGAACCAGTGAACGCGGAATCTATCAGGATCTCTGCGCTCTCCAGTACGCTCATACACACTTGTTCATCAAATATGTGCGCATATATAGTTATATTTATATCTATATTTGCTTCACCCTATATATATATATTATCACTGTATATTACAAAATAATGTGTGATGAACCAACATGGCTTTCTAAGCCATTGTTTTGACTTTTACCACTTCCTGAAGTGTTCTGCGCGGAACTGTCTCATGAGCCACTGAACCAATGGTCAACTTGGAGGGCGATATTCATGGACTATGGAATCCAATATCCACCGGATTCTGAAGACTTTTGTACCAATGTGAGTTGGCCTTGAGAATTAGGGTAAGCACAGATTTCGTATGAGAGAGAATGCTTCCAGATAATGGGCGAATTACTTATTATTTAATTAATTTAATTAATTTAATTAATTTAATTATTTGCACCATAAAACACAAAATACTTTTGACGGGAGCGTGGCCCTCTGGTCTTGGTAGGCAAGCAGAGTTTAGTTACTCGCATTGCTAGATAACGGACAGACTAGGGTTCAAACGTCCTTAAGTCTACGTATTGTGTTCCGAGCGGAATGCCGTGATTCATGCTTTTGTGTATTTTGCTCAGTTTACCTAAAATTTACGTCACTGAACGTATCACTACCATCTTAGTTTGTCCTGATTTTTGATGAGGAAGGTTTCACTTTTTACCTCTGAAGTTAAAATGCTCTTAAAATTTTACTTACAGATGTGAAGTATGCAAGCGATATAACTATTGTTGGAACTGACCCTGCCTTACGGACTGGTATGATCTTAGCACCTGAGAAGTGAAGCTGCAAGTTGGACGACTAACAATACTGAGAGTACTGGATTCATGTGTCATTGGAATCGGCGAGTGCACTTGATGAGTAGCCGTCCACTCATTCTATTCTCAGAACAATGGCGAACAGGACGGTGGCAAACGTAACCATTACATACACGCAAAATTTACATTGTTTACAGCGGGTGGCTCTGATGATCCTGGTTTACGCCAGGAGAGTAAAGCTGTAGCAAATCCTGTTTTTAAGAAATCAGGCTTTTCCTTCTCTGGATTCGGTTGCAAGTGATTGTTTATAATCCCGAAAGAAACTACATCGTTTAGACTAATATTATTCACCAACAAGTTTAGACATCCTGGATGTGTTGGCAATTCGGTTCTCAAAGCCCAGTGCAATTCAAAACTCCGTGTAACTCCTTCATTGAGCATTACATCAGACCGTTTAGCTCTTTCATCAAGATTCGGTTTTTAATCAGGAGATATCCCATCAATTTACTACCTTCACGATTCGTCTTTTGAGTTTACGACCGAAAACTGGGGCAGTATGGATAAGATAAAAAAAAGCCCATAAACCGGATTATTTCAATATACTTCATGTTTTTATCACTGAAGAATCGTAAAAGGCAAGGGTTTCAAAATCACTTTGATTTGAACCAAGGGGAACTGCTGATGGACTACAGACACTGAGGACTCAGCTTCAATGCTCATAATTATGTCTGAGGGGCGAAATTGCCCACCTGGTTAGAGCGCTAATTCAATGACCGGAAGGTTCGTGACTGGAGCCTGACCTCTAGCTCTCGACTTCCTCTGTCTGGGCTTGGATAACCTGGTAGTATCCCAGCCGTCGTGCAACCTTCGGGTGGCATGGCAGTTAGGCATCGGAAGGGTGCTACAGCTGAATGATTTTTATGAATTAAGTCTGAATAGGTAGCAAACAGTTGTGTATGTAACTTGTACGTATGCAACTGTGTTCTAAAAACGAAACCCCTAGAAAAGGTGGATACACAACCTTTGTAATGGTGGAATATTACTGCGCTGATATCAGCCAGATACAATTTTAGCAAGGCGGTTGCAAGAACATGCCATTGACAAGATTTGTTTTTGATATTCCTCTTGTTTCTGGTTTGTAGCCTTACTTAGCACGCGTCGAAATTCACTCCGTTTCATGAACGTTTGTCCATATAATACAGGGGGTTGATAGACTACCGTGTGGTGTTCGGCCTGTTGCGAACAGCAAAATGGGTTCACGGTATCTTCCTGTCTACAGGTGACTTCCTTATCTCTGGCAGAACGGAATTATCGTTCAGTATTCAAAATTTCCAGGAATCATTATTTATTGTGACATATCATGCGCCGATGCGCTGTCAGAAGTTCAAAACCGACCAGCTGTTCCATGGGTTTGGTACTGTCTCAAACAGATATTCTCGCGTCCTAGCAGGATGAGAATTGTTTTTTTTTAATGATCCATTTTAAAAGTTTCCCCATATCATTTACCGTATCTATATTCTAATGGTTTTAACAAACCAAGGATACATAATCGCTTATCTTAGTCTATATGAATTAGTGGAATTAGTTGGAGAATTTTGGCTACTTGACTGTGCTCTCCTGTTTACACTTAGACAGTGGAAGGCAATTTAAACGTTACACGAAACGCAGTGAATGATATTCGATCAACTGAGTGCCGAACTAGTTGGGCAATTAGGTTTCCTTATCGTAAATTCCGTGCTAAAATATCATCGGTCCATCTGACTCTGATGAAATCGTCATCAAACATTCTAGATATTCTGCTGGAATCGCCATTGTTGCACAGAAACAGGTATTCGAGACCCTGCTTTATGCCAAAACTCAAATACGCAGAAGAATCACACTAGTACTATCCGAACCGATTTGTTTATCAGTTCGATACCGGTATGGCGATTTAACAATAGGGGTTTATCAGAGGTAGTATCGGCAGAATTACAAGTGCCGTGTTATTAGCTCCCCCTTCAAATTAGACATCCAACAACGCGAGGCTGACATGAACATTTTACGAATCAATTCATTTCGTGTCACATGGTTCCTAATTCAACCTTTAAGGTGCTGTCTTGGCTGTATTGTCGATTGGATTCAGAATCGTCCCTTTAGCGAAGATTGCTCGAACATAATCGATTATACTGCTATTTGAATAGTAAAGGTTGATCAATATCCGAGGTACTGTGAAGATATTTGCACGTGTATTATGTCCGAGAAGTTTGTAGACACCGCACCTTTTTATTACGTGGGAGATATTTCCGAGGAGATTTGAAGCCTGGAATACTTCTTAGTTGATTGAGCGAAACAAATTCTTTCCAAACATGTCAGAACTGACCGGAGTACCCTGGATCTGTGAACAAGTGAAGAAAAAAATGCAGTTGCTGAAAGCTTTCCAGAAACTGATAACGGTCGTTGTATGGTTCATTAAAACGAGGGTATGCTGCCACATTCGCTGTAGGGATTCGTCATCCGTTTTTCGCTATCTATCATGCTTATAGAAGTTGGCCAAATCTATCTCTATTGCATGGATTCCTTAGAAGTTCGAAGTTAGTTACAGTAAAAGATATTAGGTAGGTAATGGAAAAACATCCACACTGTTCCCGCTAGACGCGTCTTTTTAAGTAAACTGTTAGTTCTTTGCGCAAAATACACACCGATTTGGTTTTAGCGGAAGACTCAACCGAATTCCAGATGAATCTCTCATGGCTACCTTCAACGGGATGTGCTGCACAAAGGCTACTTTGTGTTTCATTTGGCACGATAATCAAGATATGGCAGTATAATTTCTTGAAGAGATGCTATGCATAAGCTTGCTGCCAAAAAGTTTTCGGCAAATGTGTGAGTAGTGATATTCCAGTGAAACATATTTTGGTTACATATTGTTTCGTCCAGACTTTGATAACTGTTTTCATAATCGAGCTAAACAAGCTTAACTGAATCGATAAGCCATATAAGACTGAAGTGAAATAATCCAAAAAAACTAAGTTTTGACTGGACATTATTTATTGCTGGATGCAGCCAAAACAACTAAATCTATTAACTGAGTATTGTGTGACGTCAGCTTCCAGCCAGCGGTATGCAGTTAATGCATATCACATTACATTTAAGGCCACAGAGAACGTAAAAAGAGACCTTGGAAAAAACGTTTATGAAACCCAAAACCTATCAAAGCACGCTCGGATGTGAGACAATGACCACGGTGCCAGACTGTGTCCAGAGGACTGCAACGTTTACGCAAACGCTGACGTCCAGTTTGAGCATCCCTTCATCGCGTTATCTTGTGACCAGTTGATTGTCTGCCACCTCAGCGTGCAAATCACGGTGCCACACCTGTCAACGCTGTTTGCTGGATGTTGATAACATCCAAAATTGTGGGTCTGGTTATTTACTGCCACGTGACCCCGCCCGGATAATGAGCTTTCATGACTTCGTTAATTTTGCACGTTTTTTAATCAAATCTACTTATCAACTTTTTCGGTTTCACGAATATATTACTTATGAGAAGACTATAGAAATTACACAATGTAACTAGAATTTAGTTCACAACTTTTTTTTCAGATTAACTTACTCCGGAACTCCTGGAAAAGTCTATTCAAATGGGCATACATCAAATGCCTGTCAGCACTGCCATCAAAAATGCCTGAAAGTAACAAGGCATACATTGTGCTTGATCAACAACACTTCCAACTGGAGAATATTGATAAACAGTGTTCACTTGAGTTGGCGTATGAAATGACCACAGTACTCAATCCTAGTGGCACTTTTAGAATTCTCGTTTCCGGTAAGACATACAGTGACCAAAAAGTTTTAAAATATAACGACGTGTTATGCATAGCTAGGCACAGCACTGACAAGCGCTCGTAGTTAGAGGACACTTGGCCATAAAGAATAACCTGAGGTGTAAAGAATGATCTTTATGATTCCTGTCTTCTCTGTAAAGTCATGTGAAAAGTAAATACAGTATGTCTCTTACAAAGGCGCGCCGAAAATTAATATCTGCATTTACTAAAGAAACAAGCAGAAGAGAAACTTAGATCCGGGTACTTCAGATGTGTCATTTGTCTAATCAGAGAACCAATGTTTTCGTATACTTGACCACCAATTCAAGTCGTTTGATAAATCACTGCGTTAGTATCTCATTTGTTCATCTTCCCGGAGCACTTGCCTTACCTTCCCAGTGATAAAAACCGCCTACTTGCTTTTCTTACGAATCTGTACTTTATGGTTCTTTGTTTGACGAAGCCTTTGCGCACGAGAGTGATCAGTGCTGCTCTCTCTCGGGCATGTTCTTGTCTGAAAGATAGGTGAAAAGCAGGAACTCAATATTCCTTTCTTTCGTCTTCGGAGGTGCCCGCACTACCGAGTCGGACGGTCCAAGGTGCTTTCCTACCCGGTCAATCTTATGGTTCTTGGACAGCCGTATCAAATGAACAAAGACATGGCAGTTGGCATGAATGGACAGACACAGTTAACGGGGGCGAATTCGCGTGCAGCCAGGAGGTGGCGGTAGACGACCAGCTGTTCCCGGACAACATGAGTTTACCAGCCGGGTTGACAGCATTTTCATGTTAGACCTTAAGCTGGGCCCATACACGCTTTGGAGAGACGCGGATTCTTGTAAAGAAGCAACAAATAAAATAATTATTTTGGCGTGAAATTTCGGTTGTAGAATATCTCAAATGCAGCTCGGCAGCCTCAAACAGTACTAATCAGTCACCGCTGATAATAGTTAATACCCAGATACGTTGACCGAGATTTGAAGAGTAGTTGATTTCTTTAACAGAGTGACAAGAGGTGTTTTGCAGTATCACCCTCCAGATGGTAAGAAATGTGAAGAATCGAGCGAGTGTACCATCGGTCTATGTTCTCAGTTCATGCGTTGGATTTTGTAGCAACCTCGCATGTAGAACATAAGCTAGAAAATGAACGAGAAGGTACTTTCAACTGTCTGCAGCCATTCTTGTCGAATGCTGTAGCGAGATTTTGCACTTTCAGAACATGAAAGCATTCGTTTGCTGCGATGGCTTACATGACACCAGGAAGAGCTTGATGAACGAGGTCGCGGTTAAATGCGACAGGATAGTTTACAACACCTGGACCTGTCTTGTTGGATAGGAAGAGATTGTCAGTGGCCGTACGGACACAAAAACCCGAGGGACAAGATTGGACTTCGAATGAATCTAGAGCAGGACACGTAAGCAAACTCTAGGTGGTACCATTGATGTACTGAAAGGCAAATTGTGCTTTAGCTTAGTGCACAAAATGGGGTTTAGTGAAAACATGTTCACATGCTTCCAACAAAGGCCAATTTGTTTGTCAGTAAGTTGTGCATAAGGACGTAATGAATCATTGTTCTTTGCTTTTATATATTATTAGAGGTATTGACGCACTTCAGTGCGAAAGGTAAGCCGTATGCAGCTTCAATTCGTATTGTAAGCTCGTCATTTATTTAGTTGAATGGGATTCAGTTCGCCTGGGTTTTTTATAGTTCAATTGGACGATTGGTCCTAACAGCTGTGAATAAAATAAGCAACTTGGCAGTACCAGTTTTCGATTTCACATTTTTGCTGCCGACTACACAGCCCACATATGTGACGCAGACATTTTCACATTTTATGGCTTGAATTCATTTATTTGTGTATGGTAATCTATGTCATCAACCGAGTAGTTGCTGTATAAATAACGACCTGTAGTTCCACTGCAATTTTCACAAGAGCACTGCTCGGGGAATAACCTATCGGAAGTATGCTACGACATATATATTACTCCTCAGGATGTGGATCTCCAGACAATTTGGTTCATCCTAGTTTATTCCAGTCAGTCTTATGACTGGTTTCTTTCATTTAGTTTAATGTTTGTTTTTTATCTTTTGTGAAGATTTTTCCGTCACAGCGTGCACCCACATCCAGGCAAACCAATTTTCGCTAAAAGTTGGCAAAAGAGATTCTGTAAAAATAATTTGGTCTGAAAGAGTTTTGGATCAAGAAGGCTGAAGCATTTTAAATGTTACTGTTCTGAAGCACAGCAGTGGATCGCCCCTGTACGTTTTTGGTGCTATTCACCAGGAACTGTTCGACTGTATTGCCATAGAGTGAAATCAAATATATTGAAATCCCTCCAAAAACAAAGTTTTCGGTAAAATGTGAGTTTAGTATGCATTTTTAGGGAGATCTTGGATGCGCAGTTTAGTTGGATAGAGTTCACATAATGAAGCTTTTCCGTTTTTCAGGGTTTTAGCCTTGGTAACAGGAACAAATGTAGCTCGTCGACTGTTATCACGCAGGATTTAAGCACTCCATGGGACCGTTACTCCGTTCTCAGTTTCAAGCAGTGTATTTCTCAATTATTCGTATTTCATTCCATATAGATCAAAAGTAGGCAATGACCTTATATTACTCTTAAATTAGGAATGGTACCCGATTTACAATGAATGTTTTCTGTGGATCACTTATTGTTAGATCTTGGAATTTCAAAACAAATGAAGTTCCGTGCTGGATTGCATTTTAATGGAAGTACGTTTCCCTTTCCTTTTCGTATTACAACAGCCGGAACTCTCATTGCCATTGTCACATCGGCAAGAAAGTTTAACTGCTGCTTTCCTATTTACCCTTAGCAACAATACCTCTCATTACGCGTGTGTGCTCAAAGGCACAAATCAAGGAAATGAAAGGTTTGTGGAATTTTATTTGTACACTGTTTGTTCGATGAATTTTGTTGTAAATACTCAGAGAAGCCTATCTTACTTTGGGTGGGAGAGTTTCCTAACAATTACGAGTGGGAAAATTTGGTCATATTTGTACTTCACAACAGATGAGCGCTACTTATAGCCTCCAAAATCGAATTCTTTGTTGAAGCATTTTCCCTCATCTGAGAGATCTCAGTTTATTACCGCACACAATTTGGGGACCATATGTGGTTCTTCTTGTTTGGAATTACCGGAATTTCAATCAAACGCCACAGCCTCTTGCAGTTCGATCAAATTAAAGCAACGGTTTTGCTGTGGGTAAGAGTTAATCGTTGCACACGATCGATTGGCGGTTATGGACACAAAAGAATGCATATCTCGGCTCAGTTGATTGAAGGCTCTGGAAAACTGTTTCAACCGTATCACGATTTTGCCATTGTCAGATTCAGGAAACTGCATTTTTAGACTGCTGAAACCAAAAATTACATCGACACAAAAACTGTTTTTCTATCATTTGAAATACATGTCCTCTCTGAACTCCGGGCAAAATGGAAATCTTACAATTGCAGTACCCGACCATGATTCTGTCAGGCCAGTCTGTTAGTGACCGGTGTACATCCTACATCTTACCAGAATAAAGAACGGCTGGATGTTTACCGTACACAAAGTGTTTGACGACGTAGGAAACAGAATATTAATCACTTGATGTGTCATCATAACCGTCACCATAAAATTTTCGGAAAAAGCTGAGGAAAAGTGAGCTCTAAAGATGTGTGTGATCGTTCAGTACGTGTGGACGGCAGGTTTATGTTCGCATATGGTAAGTCACAACATGGTGACACAAATGCGTGCACCAGCCGCTATATCTGCGCCTCGGATTTTGTGTGAATCTGAGGAAAACACAACCAGTGAACAGTTTGATCTGCAGGCCAGTCCATCCGCCACCAAGCAAATCAAACAGAAAGAAGCAATCCAAGTCTCTCTCTCATTGAGCACCAGCAAGCTGCAATTCGCACTCTGCATTACATAGCCGGAAAGCTATGCCTAACTAGATAAACGCTGTAATGATTCTCCTCTTGGAACCGGCTGTAGCCGAAGACTATTCTATAAATTGTAACCTCTGGCACTTACAGCCAAATGTGGATAATAACTACATGCTCCTTCTCAAACCTTCCAAAAAGACAGGACCTTTGGATGTACTGAAAACACTGTGAAGGTGCAAGGCTGCTGTTATATTTAGAAGCTCAAAGTATGCATCTTTGACCGATAAAACTACTACAGGAAAAGCCCTCAAAATTCAACTATACTTACTCCTGCCTCGGTAGTCGGGGTAACAGCTACGTCCAAACAAAATCCTACGCAACGGACAAAAACAAATGTACTGCGTGTCGCATAAACTATCAGCCGGAACATATGCGAAAATTTCGTTGGTCAAAATGAACCGTCATACATGTTACAATCTGGTCGCGCTCCCAATAATGAGTACATGCCGACAGTCAAGGATGCTCGACTTCTGTTACTGCACATCATAGTTGCAGTTTGCTGACACACGCACAAGACGATGTCATTACGTGAATGCACTAGTGCTCGGTGTGCAAAACCTTCCACTCATGTTCCCACAACCCGGTTTGTAACTGGCATTTAAACGGATTCGTTCAATTTCGAGCGTGCGTCCATTCAAATAACTCGGCAGAAGCAAGTACTTTATAGTCAGCCTCTTGGCTGTCTGTGCCAGTCGAGCTGAAAAGAAGGGCTCTCCGTCTATCTTGTGAACTTACACAATTAACTGAATCCACACTTACTTCATAAGGCTCGAGGATCGTATCTGTTGTAGGTGGAAATGCCCAATGCTTAACTTTAAATCTACGGCGTCTTTTGAACCCCTTTTATCATCTATCACGTCATCCTTTCGGCAATTTCAGACATTATTCTGGTTCATCCGTGTACTTGAAGTCATTGACCTTTGGCATTTTTGTGTCCAATGAAGAGTTCTCAGACGCCAGTAGCCGGATCACTTGCTAGATAGGTGGCCATGGAGTAGCGCATTGTCGGTCACTGATTACAAGGGACTCACTTCGTTATTTGGTTAATCCAATGCTGGGCCATGTCAACTATTAACAGGCTGTGTAAGCAGTCCCAGAAGGTTTGAAAAAGTAATCCTATAAATGCAAAACTAAAAGAGTTGCATTCCATCGCTAATTTGAACGTCACTCTAAGAAGATAAAGATAGAGACGAGTGTCTGAGCAACATGCATGTCATCACTTAACAAAAGGATCAAGAGCCTCGCTCATGCCTTCCAATATAAGGAAACGAGCCGGTCAGTGGCGCAGCCTATCTATCGGGATTTCAAATACAGACCTGTGAATGGGGAAGATTTAACCAGAGAATCACTTGAAGGAAATAAATTCGATTGGGGTTACCTGTGGTGAGGATGCCGTCTTATTTGTCCTCAAATGTTTGGAGTTACTACAGAAGACAGAATGAGAGACATTCTGACGAGTGAATATAACCGATTGGTTTGGTGGTTGGAAAACAGAATGGACTTCTTATACTCAGTAGAAAAAGTCAGTTTTAATGTAGAGATTTCGGCATTTTTACGCTTGCATAATCGGAGACTGATGAGTGAGTGCATCTTGAATTTCACTTGGCTTGCCTCAATTCATTTGAATAAACTACATTAGGTAACAGAGACAGGTGGCACGTTATAGTCCAGATGGCCTAGGCTTTTTCTGGCGCATCTTTTGCACAGCTGCATCACAATCTGCGTCAATAGGTGACTTTTATATTGAAGCAGCAAAAGAGGCTACGTGGAGTTAATTCTGAGCAATTGTTACACAAGCTACATTTTAGGAATCCGTTTGATATATCCCCAACGTCCATGGCTCTGTTAGCACGCTGCTGGCAATGCCCACCGGGTCTTCCAAAAACTCATAACCAGTTACCATAGGTCTAGCTGGAAATATCTCAATGTGTCGATTTGATTGCCATGATTCACGTGAACTGTTCCTTGTTCCAGTTCTTGTACAACTTGCGATATATCTATTTATGTCAGCTTACACTTCCAGTATATATAATGGCCATTACGACGAATTAGGAGTATGAAGTAGTGATTCTATGACTATGAATATGTTTTGATGAGATCCATTCAGGGCTGTGACCAAATCTACCATGGGCTTATACACGCAGTTTTAGACATGTGTAATTGTACGCATTTATATGAATACATTTTGGGATGTCCAGTTCGAACATATTTACCTCAGATATATGAGAAACTATAAATTTGTAGGCAACCAATAAGCTTGTTTACTTTGGCACTGCTTTTCACCCGGGTAATCCTTCCACATGAGCGAGAAGCGAATAAACATTTTCGGAAGTGAGCTCATAGTTCACACAACCTCTCGGGCATAATGAGTTATACCAGTCAGTAATAACTGAACATTGATTAACTTCGCGTTCGTAAAAGAACACCAGAGAAATGTCAGCCTTCCGCACAACGGGATCACTTGCGATCTAGGCTATGGATAGTCATTTAAGTATAGGTGTAAAGTTTGATCAGGTAAGAATTTGGTAGAAAATACAAGTCTTCTATCTGAAAGATTCTGAAGCACATGACTTCAACTCCAGACGTAACATCACGGTAATCACCAGGTTTGTTTATAGGTTTTGCTGGATACAAAACGCGGGAACTTAGTAGACCTGTGGCTAAAAGAGCTACTCATCCGTGAGTAAAATTAGAGCATGCCTTGAACTTCTTAAAATGAGCGATGTGTTACCAGTTTCGCTTTTGCCTGGTCTGTTAATTTTGCCTGTCCGTTAATTACAGTATTGCATGCAGTATTTGGGTCACACGTTTGACGGCATCCACTATCAGACTACAACTTAACTCACAGACACGAACCTAACTCGTCTAATACTAACATTTTAGTACTTCGCCTCGGACTACTAACGACCTATGAACAGTACCGAAAAATTGAAGAACCATTATTTATGGTATGTTGCCGTAGATGCAATTCAGTGTTTGTCCAATAGTGACACAATGTCTTTGTAAGTAATTCAGTTTTACATACTGGTAAGAGCTAACAAGTATAGTTGGCTGTGTATTTCTGATGCTATGGTTCGCCGAATTCGCCGGTAGCTGACTGAATTACGGTGGCACTCTCGTTAGGTTCGCTTAATTCCGCACAGTTTAGTAACTTGACAGTGAAAAAATATAAGGCACAGATTCATCCCTAACATAGTCCGTGTAATATTCAACTCGTGAATCAGAAGGGACAAAGCACAGTCGGTGGAATAACTGTGCTGAATTTCAAGCATATTCAAATGGCATTTTCGTTTGAACTGAACAAGCAAGGAAAACTATGAGTAAAACGAGCACTTACAAGAGCGTATGCTACCGGAGATAAAACGGTTAGACGGACACTATTTTTATGTAGATTGAAGATTATTCAAACTTTAGGAATACTGAATGAACAAGTGCATCGTAGCGTAGGTCAAGAAAAGTGAATGCTTGTTGTTCGAGTTCAGTGTGGAGAAGTAAGGGGGAGTTCCAATGCACCATTAGGACGGCTAAAGCCACGGTTGTGGCAGTAAACTCTCACTTGCTTGCATTTTACTGTTCAGTTTGTTAGAGATGACCAGCAGATTGTCGAATGATCCACGAGTGTGTGAACAAGTGGCAAGTGTAAACTGAGCCATGCGCAAGATCTACGGCTTCCCATCTGGGGCAACAGCTCGACTCTTCGCATGCATGTAAGAAATAGCAAACGTTTAATTAGATGCACTAGTTTCTGGGCATGGCTGGTTAATAGCGCGAGAAAACGAGCTCCCGAGTTGTGTAGCGACCGTAGCGGACAGTTAAAGAAGAAGCGAAATATTAAGGACCAATCAGCAGCACACCTCTATCCGCAATAGGAAGAATTATGGCAGCAACGGAGTTAACTTTTCCGGATATGTATGTGTTTGTATATTTTGAGTCAACAGGAACGTTGGCCTGATGAGGGATCACCAATTAATCGTGTGCAGTGGCGTTCACTTTTGCTAATGTATACTTTCTAATTAGACCTTTACGGCGTGTAGTTATGCATCAGACGTTTTTGGCGTCATCTAGAACAGTTAACAAAAGAGTCGAAATTTTCATGTAGTGGATATTTGAATAAAGTCATGTTATGCTGACTTTGTTGAGGCGTTGTTCAGGGGATTGGTTGATGCGTACGACTGAAAAACTAGTTGATGTAAGCATATTCGCCTCAAAGGTCACTGGTTCATGTGCTGTCAGCGCTTAAGTTAGTATATTAAGGTTAATTGTGCTTCTGGATTAAAAAAAGTGGGCGTGGTTTTGAGTTGCTGTTTACCAGAGCAGACCAAATATGGAATATGCCAGAGTAACTTTCTATTTGGCGAATGCTTCACGATAATGTTGACGAGCATCGCATTTCCAGTCACATTATCCTGATATTTATTCGGCTACATGCAAAGATACCTCTTTGTGGAATACGTTTAATCGTATGTATTCTCTGGGTTCGAAGGATTCACGTTCACATCAACCTCGTATGAACGGATGTCCTGATCTCCTGATACGTTCACTGAGTCCACACGATAGAGGAAAAGCAATGAACTCGAATTTCGCCCTTGTGGAATTTAGTAGCCCCGTATTTTCTTGACTTTTATATTGTTTCTACTCCAAACATCTAACACCCGAGTCAGCGTGTTACCACTACTCCCCCAGCGCACTTGCACCAAAATGGAATATGCCAGAGTAACTTTCTATTTGGCGAATGCTTCACGATAATGTTGACGAGCATCGCATTTCCAGTCACATTATCCTGATATTTATTCGGCTACATGCAAAGATACCTCTTTGTGGAATACGTTTAATCGTATGTATTCTCTGGGTTCGAAGGATTCACGTTCACATCAACCTCGTATGAACGGATGTCCTGATCTCCTGATACGTTCACTGAGTCCACACGATAGAGGAAAAGCAATGAACTCGAATTTCGCCCTTGTGGAATTTAGTAGCCCCGTATTTTCTTGACTTTTATATTGTTTCTACTCCAAACATCTAACACCCGAGTCAGCGTGTTACCACTACTCCCCCAGCGCACGTTGGTTGCACCAAACGCATTAATAATGTGTTCGTCTTTGTTGCTGTGTACCTGTGTTGGTCGAACCCAAAGCTGAAAATCAATAAGCTCATCGTAAAGCAATGATGGGGGATGCGAGAACTGCAGATGCAATAAAAAGATCAACATAGATTTTCTAGGAGGGATGATGGGAATTACTCCTGTTGGCAGAAACAATATATCAGTGTGTATGTGTATGTCAACGTTGATCAGCAGACGAGCAAGATGGGACATTTCAAAATGTAACGCTGTGCTTCTACAAAACGACAAGAGAAGTTGACACGCATATTCAGTCCACGGAAATTTTTTATGACTGCCTATGACATAGGTTATCTTATTGAAAGACCACATTAAGTGGTATTCATAAATTAGGGCATACGCCTTTACAACACAGCATGGTAACAAGGCGTCGCTGCATTAGCACGAAAGTCCACTCGAATTCACTTGATCTAACAATGAAAGGAATTAAAGTAGGTTCACGTTTCACAACAACTGGCATGCATGATGTTGGTCCTTTACTGACTGGCACAAACATGTTTAGTTATTCAAATATACGCCAGGTACAAAAATGAACTTAAAAACTGCGTATTACAATTCATAGCATAATGCACTTCGTTATACAAGGTTTTTTCGTGTGCATTGCATCTTTATGGCAGGTACTCATGATAGTATTACGAACACATTCCTCAGTGTGGCGGCTAGCACCGTCCACACCTATTTTATCCAGCAATTCCCTGGTTTCCTTTTAGGCACGAGGTGTTACGAGATTTGGTTTATCAACATTTGATGACGTTCCAATGGAAATGAGCAGCTTTTTGGACTACGAGACTTTCAGGCTAAAATATTTCAACTTTTTCGATGATTCTCCAACGTTGAGTATCTCACACTTTTCGAACGCTCTCAAAAGCATCACAGACTACTTTCAACACCGATATGAATTGGTCTATTTGCACACGAGTTACACAAGTGAGTATTAGATGAAAGGAATGTTGTTGACTAAACATAACCAGTATTTGCAAATATTACCAAAACGCCACTTCAGCTTTGCCGGTGAACCGAACCATCTGCTGGGGACCAAAAGATACTTGTGATAAATGGGTTAGATTTATCCAAATTTTTCCATTACCTCGAGTCCCGCTGGATCGTTGCTCTCATCTGAAACGGCTGTAATACATAATAGACAAGATCCAAGCAGAACATGTCGAAAATGCAACTGGCTAGCTTAAGTAGTCGTTCCCATGTCACTGATCTGGTCAAGCCATGCGAATCAAGATATCACCTGGTGTTCCAGTTGAGCTGGTAGCATTTGATTGGCCACAAAATTAACCATTATCGGGACATTTAGAGGATTCCATGACAACTATCTTTCAAGAGGCACTACATTTCATATCATGCTCCACTTCTGCGAATGCAGACACATCTAGGGAATGCGCTTCATAGTTCCATGTTCACGTATCCCCTTAATTACAGGAACAACAATCCGTTCGTTACATGTCTTCTCTCAAATCAAAACAAATGTTTGCAGCAAAATATCAAGTACAAAATTTAGATACTCACACCTAAGGAACATTAAAGCCGACGCAACTTTCCACCAACGTTTACGGCACAACGCGGTGTAGTCTGTGTATATTTTTACCTGTTATTCGTGTTTTACGACAGGAAGAACCCATTTGTTGAGGTGGGTGAGCAAGCGGAAGCCGTGAGGAGTTCTGATTCGGTTGAAAGGCACTATGATGGTTTCAACTGCGAATGTCTCACTTGAGTAATTGATGACCACGGAAATCGCCAGACCATATTTTTTGTACGAAATTTGCCATTTGTTGTAAGATGAGTTTGTCTACGTTCATCACACTGAGATGTGTGATGACATTCATTCACTGACCTCCAAGATTTTGTTTCCATTAGATTGTTCATAATGCGGTTCCAGTTAGTAGGAAATCAACCTTTCGAAACCATACATAAACATATGTGCGAACATATGAAAACGCCTGGACGTTGTTATCAATCAAATTGAAACAGGAAACCAGTCGTTGAATGCGATATTAGAATCTGTTGCAGAATTGCGTTACGCTATTAGATTAGCACTGAGTAATACAGCAGAATGGGACGAAAGGGTTAGTAGTAAAAAAAACCATCATTGCTCACCACCATTGCTCATTATGCTAAGAATATTCAGAAAGGATAACGGTCGTCACGACGCACTGGCTTTTATGAGGTTAGGAGGAAGTAAATGGCTGTTGAAAGCCAAATGCGTAACCGAATGATGGATATCGCATTATTCTGCCACCCACCTCTGGTCAGCCATTCCAAGTTGGGTGATATAATTTAGAAACCTCTCACTTGGATTTCGGATTCGAAACCTTCCAGTGATTCATGAAGTTCACACCCTGCATCACTTGCAAAGGATTCCTGGTGCTCAAAGTACTCCGCTCCTTAGTATGCATCGAAAAGAAATATGCACTTTAACTTTTTAGTTTGTCTTATCAGGACAACCGAAGTGCAGGTTCCTCGAGCAAAACTTACGCCGTCTGGCTACAAAATACCAATCATAAGAACCACAAAAAATGTACACAGACCTAATGGAGTCCGTGAACGATTCAAATCAAGATATAAAACAGCATTCGCGAAAACATCGATGCGAATAGTATTTCATTCGATCCAATGAACAGGTATTGTAGGTCTAATATGCCCTTAATTCTACAATGATGTATTTTTGATTGAAAATATGCTCATATAATTATTCAACCTGAGAATACATGATACGCGTATAATTCCGCTTACGACTTTGTGCAAAATAAGGAATAGGTCACCGACGGTTTATAACGGAAGAATTTCGCTTATCAGAAGAGATGTATGAATGACTCCACAACATGTACTTTTGTTCCAGCAATGTTCCGTAGGTGCAGCAAGACGGACCAAGAATTTCCGGAGCTCAGTAAGTAACTTTGTGTTATGAATTCGGTCCACATTTCTAGTATGGTCTCTGGTATCCACAAGGAAGTACAACGTAACTTCGAGGCGGACAGTTATGTAATGCAGTAATGCTAACACAGTATCCCAATGCTTGAGGTAATAGACAAATAAAACATAGCAGGTATCTTCTGGATTCTGTCGACGATAGATTACAACTACACTGATGCCAATTACATTTAGTTGGCAATGTTTAGGAACTTGGTCTTTTTTGATTCCACAAGGCATTTTTTCAACACACTTGTTATCAGCATAATAACGATTGTTCAGCTGTATCGCCTCTTCACTGTCTAAATGCATCATCACCAGAAGAAAGCACGGGGGAATTAGGCTCAAACCCAGATAATGGCAGTGGATTTACTGAGTGTGGGTTCGAAACACGGACCATTCTGACAATTCTGTTCTCGCCTCAACAACTGAGCCATCTGAAACGCCGCATGTTCATTTGTTAGGGGTATATATCCAGGCGAAGCGCACATATCTTTTTAAGCGGTGCGTGATTAGCGCTTTCTTTTATCTCGTGGATTCCAAATTTAAGCACGTGACTTTCCATTATCCATTCGTAGATCTGCTGTCCGACCGATCTGGTACAATATTGTCTTATTGCTGAGGGATATTTTTTTGACCACAGCGTTCAAATATTGGACGTATTTTCAGCTTTCGCCATTAATTTGTTAGGAAGCTGGACATGGATCTCATAGTTATCTGATGGAAGTTCCATGACGTACCTTTGTTGAGTGAAGGTGTTCGGTTCGACGTGCCAACCTTCGAGTTTTATGTCGTAGTTTTTCCGGGTATATGTCCAGACTTAATCTATCCAGCGATATACTTTGAGAATTTTATCGAGATTCCCCCGGTATATCTGTAGAGTATTGTATAATACCACCATTTATTTTTGTTGTACAAGAGGATGCTGGGTAGTACTATGTTCCTTAGAATTTCATCTCGTTTTCCTCTGGCTTACTATACACAAGGTCACCAGTGGGTTGTTGTTTGAACCATGCCAAAGCAAGAAGAACTGAGGCAGCGCAAAAGGAGTTTGTGGTGCAATGCTTATTTCTGACAGAGATCCCTCTAAAGCAGAACATTTCTCGAAACAAAATTTCCCATTAGACATCACCGAGTGTACGATTCCTCGGAAGAGAAACCATCTCTGGGAGAAAACGGCCACTCTTTTTTCTGGCGACCGTCTGCTCAACGGGACTGATGTATACCAACAAGCATAGTTACGCGATTTAAGAAAAAAAAACAGTTGTGCTGATAACAACTTAGAGATTTTAACTCGTTAGGAATTCGGAAACACCGGGAAACTCCAAGTCGGTTGGCGTGGAGTCTGAGTCGATATGTAGTATTAGATGTCATCTGAACTATTAAATCCTCCATAGAGGACGATGTTGGGGACAGGTTTCTGGATAGCCTTCATCCATTCCCTCTGTCGTCGACTGGTTTGCTAAGATATCAGAAACTGGGACTCTAGATCAACTTCTGCTTATACAGTGTAATCAGTATGTGTGTGTGTAATCAGTATGACCGTTGCTTTCTGCTGTCCAGTGTCCATTTGAATAAGGCAGCCGTAAACGTGACACCACGGTCTGTCCCAGGCGCAAGCTTCGTGCAGAAGCTTGTTGCACACATCATCATCATCATCATCATCATCATCATTGTCAGCTGTAATAATCGCGTACTCGTCGTACAGTGGTCGTAGCTGCCGCAGTTTCATTCACCGATGTTTGGGGGGGGGGGGATAGGTGCAGTGAGCTGTCAAATGGGGCGGTTGGAAAAGGAGCTATGCATTGAAGGCAACAGGTTGGATGCACGAGCGCCATTGAGGGCGCGACTGGGCCATGTCTGAC